GTTACAGGTCGGCCGATCTGGTTTCGTGGTTAAAGTTAACTTTTTCGACATGTTTCCGTGTTGTCGTTGCTCAGCAATGGCATGGACGCAATGTTGTCTGGGGGTTTGGCAAAAGGAGAGTGGTACTGTGGGCGGTGCTCGGGGTGGTGACTGAAGGCGGTGACTGTGTAGTTCTGACGTCACCTTTTTACATAAGTCACAACGGTTCGTGAAAAATCATAGCTACTTTATGCAGGCTGTGTGCATTTTACTGTGGACTTGACTGTTTTGAAACTTATATGGTAGTTAAATAGCCACTAGACCTCAGTTATCGTGAAAAAAGCCAGGAAATTTCAGTTTTGACAATATGGGACCTTTAACATGTTGGCGTTTGACCATATAACATTTCTACCAAAATACAATAGTTCTTACAGTATTAATATAATAAAACCATGGTAAATCTTCATAAAGCGTTTTCTAGGGATTCCTAAGAGTTTTTAAGCTGTATTTCATGGATATGCTACAAAATGCTTTAATAGGAAATATGGAAAATGTGCTTCTTTGGGTAATAAAATGAACTAACAAAATAAAATAAAATGTTAAATCAAATTTGTTTAAAAATATTAAAATATAATATTTACAAAATATTTTGTATAACTGAATAAACTGCATTAAGATAAATCAAACTGAAGAAATTTTAAAAGGATAGATCAGGTAGGAATAGCTCTTTAGGGGACAACCACATATTTTCACTTTTTACTTTGTAGAATATTGTCTAAGGGAATGAATGATATATGATTTTCAGAATGTGTGTTCAGTTTTATGACTAGCCGACAATTCTTGAAGCACAGAGGCGATTCCATTAACTCAGGGGGGCTTCAACACTGTTATGTCATTCCTCTGCGAGGGAACAACTTCAAACACTCGAGAACAACAAAGAATAATTCTGAAGAAGAAAAGAGAATAGCTGCATTGTTCTTCCACAGACTTAGTCCAGCACTTAGACACACATACATTTACTCACCACTGGTCTGTGCACATCCCAGAAAGCCCTCTCCTGACTGTCCAGTATTTTCCTCTCAATTTTGTCTCTTTTCTTATCGACTCTGAACAGACAGAACACCAAGCCAAAGCAATTAAAACATTTAACTTCCAAAAGAAAAAGCAAACATGCAATGAACCATGCAACTGAGCTGAAAAGTCATAAAGCTGCCTAATGTTTTGGCACTAAGAGGCACTATAGAATTACTTGGAACAACAGCAGAAGTGACTTATAAGACAAGTTCTGTTCAATCCAAAAACAATTTTACTGCACAATTTGTCCAAGAGACTTTTAAAATCCATTAGCACAGACAACATAAGAACAACCAACAGCCTGACAGATCTTTTAAGAGAACTGCCCATTAATATTTTAATTCTTACTACGTAAATAGTCACTTTCCTGTCTTCTGACAGGGTGGCTGGCTTTTACAAATGCACAACAAAAAATACATGATCTGAACATATATGAAAGACTGAAAGATACATACTTTGCTTGAGCCTCTGCTTGCATAAATATAAACTCCCATTTCCTGGCGAATGCCCGCTGTAGTCGTGCTAAACTCTCCTGAAAGAGAACAGAAGAACATTTTTAGATGACCAAAATGTAAAAAACAAAAAGCTTTTTTGTAGATAATAAAGCCATCTGTTTAATGTCGTGTACCACTCATTTTTACCCAGAGAGGGGTTTCTTTCTTCCAAAAAACGAAACTTACCTTAAGGTCAGTATAATAACTTCCCCCACAAATTGGATAATTTTTGTGCTTTTTGATTGTTTTTGGAACTGACTGATCATAGGCCTCAATGATCTGAGCTGAGCATTGTCAAAATCATCCTTAACTAATATGTTTTCACCCAAAAACAGTTGCATAAGCTCAGATCAATGAGGCCTAAGACCAATCAGTTCCAAACACAAAACCTGCACTAATTGAAAGAAAACAAGTTGTCAAACAGGTATGGTGAAAATATAGCATTACGAGAGATTACAAGCATATTTTAAAAGGATGGTCGACACTAAATTAGGTAAAGGATTTTCAACACAGCACAAGGGTTAACTTAATAATAGAAAAATGAAGAGGAGGCCGAATGATTACATGTTTACAGTTCAATATAAGAAAGACGTTGGTGGAAAGAGATCCATCTATGCAGGCCTACCGAAGAGCTTACATGGATTATGCAAACAAAGCCTGACATTTAAAGCCCAGCTTGGATTAGGCCGACTTTCTTTTTAAAGATTGTCATTACCTTATCATCTTCCTAATATCTTCTATCTAATAATGTCTGAAGTACAAAGCCTGAGACGTGCATTGTTACAATTAAGAGAGAGAGAGGAGGGAGAAACAAAGAGAAGATTACTTACAGCTTCATAATCAGCAAGTTCCAGACGTGCTTTGTTCTGCATTGTTCTTTTGCACAAGTACACAGCTGCAGAGAGATGCCGAGAGGTGTGTGAAAAACACTGCTCACACACACCTCAGCAGCCCTCAGGGCTTTCAAATGAGTTGTCTAAAATATTTAGTAAACATTTAACATATTTCACACCAGCTTGTACCGAATCGCACCTGAGCGTTGCTTTGTTCTGATTGCTGGATTCAGAGCAAGCATAATTTACCTAACCCGAGGCACACTCATGCACACAATCATAATACAGGGTAATCGCAATTGTATTCATCGGTATTTGTTTGTAAAGTATATAATACTGCACAAAAATGCCCTTGCTGCAACCCCATTTTACACACAAATACCTATGAAAATGAATGAGATTAAAATACAGAACGCATATTACAAGTACAGTTCTCCTGTAAACATAGATATAATGTTGAGGATGAAGGATCAGGTTTTATGTAGTGACAACAAACGCATACACACGATCCAGCTGGAAGGATTTAATTAGGTTGTGTTTATATAGGCTAGTCTTATTAAAGCTCACACACTCCTAACATTCCATGATCCAGCTGATCTCCAGCCATCTGGAGGATTTCATTAAATACATGTTCATATAGACCGTTCTCATTAAGATACAGATAACAGATCCCGCTCAAAACTCACCGTAGTCAGTGTTCTCGGGCTCCCAGCAGTTTGAGGGCCAAAAATACGGAGTCTGACCGATGAAAGAGTACAATATGAACTCAGTTTTTCCAAGCACATATACTTTTAAAGCTCAGTTTATATACAAAAATGAATAAGACACTTGCAGTTGTTTTTAATGAAGATTTAGTCACATTTTACATTGATTACAGTGATTATTATATATTTACATTATAAAGTACTGATTAATTCTAATGAACAACATGAACTTAATGTGTAATTATTTGATGGAGCGATCAGTATCTGAGCTAGCTACTGTATTGCATGTTATTAGGCTGCTATATAATTAGCATGCAATAACATGCAATATATTTAGCATGGATGTTGTATTTTAAAGTGTTTCCAAATGTCCACTCTCTATTTTGCTCCTCAAATCAGCAAAACAACTGACCTGAAATCTGTAGAATGTGCCATCGTCTTTAAGAGTGAGCACATGGTCAGAGATGGGGAAGAAGTAGCCGTGAGCCGCCATCAGTGTGCCCAGATGAAGAGCCTCCACTAGAGGAACAAATAATGGGTTTTTTAGAAGTCCAAGTACGAAGTGACAACCCGACTCTTTATGCCAAGATTATTATTTTTTTTTTCTGCTCTAAAATTAAATGTACAAAACAAGGGGTATGAAATTTGAGCAGAATGTCAGAGACACTGACTGTGATTCTGGAAATAAAATTTGCATTAACTGAACTATTGATGGAATTTTATATCTTGGTATCTTGGTATTAGTTTTTTTGTTTTGTTTTTTGCAGGTTTTGGTGAAGGTAAATTTTGAGGACCAAATAAAGAAATTATAAGGAATAAATTGAAGGGAACACAATGCTTCAATATCATTCTCTGAATGTAAATGCCTAGGGAGCACACAATGAGTTGTATTAGCAACACTTCAAAGTTTGAAAATACAATTTCAAACCATTCAAAATTTTCAAAAAAACACAATTCACTTAATTTTGTTCAGCTTATCTAGATTTAATTTACATTAGCATTTCAAGTAAATGTATCTTGCGCTAAAGAGTTTTGTAGACTTGTATTGAAAAACAAAAATACTGAGGAAGATATTCATTTTTTGCAATGCATGCAAACTTTAATGCCTCTATATATACCTCTATATATATTCAAATCTATAGGAAGTTTATTTTTTTCCCATTCGAATCTTATAATCTATCCTTTAAGAAATTTAAATGATATTCCAAGATAGACTGTACGACCAGAGGAATATCTACTGCATCTACCACAGGAAGCATGGAAAAAACATTCTACTACAACCAGGAGAACTGCAGAACCCATAGCAGAGGGAGTTAAGCATCAATAAATTATTATCTATTAAAGTTTTACAATACAGTGTTTACTGTGAGTGTGCACCTTAGAGCATGTGTCTGTGCTGATTACAAATTAATATCCTTTTGCTTTCAAGGGTGCAGTATGCTTTTGCAGCTGTTGTTGTTTTGATGAGAGCTTCCCACCAGGCATGTTCACAAGGTAAATCCCACTAATCAGCAGTGTAGCAAAGAACTGAACAGAGAGAAACTTTTTTAAAGTTCTTACTTTTTATCTCTCCTTTGTTTCAGGCACAGTCTATTGAGTATACTGAGATGTTCAGTGCACTTATCTGGTTGCTCTTTTCCTGTCTGAGAAGAGCCCCCTATCACACACTTACTCACACACACCTGTCTAATCTGTCAGAGGGAATCTAAAGTAGAGGGATATACACCATACTCAGAAACAAATCGAATCTCACTGCTGTGTAAAGAAAAAAAAATCTCTTTATCTTCTTTGCGTCTTCCCCAAAACACAATACCTCAGACTACCACAGCAAATGCAAGAACAAATTAGCTTTTTGAGTAAATAAAACATTAGCTGCAATTAGTTGCAACAATACATGGGTTACGAACAAATATATTTTAATAATTTCAAAAATAATACATAATTTTGGAAAGAATGGTAGCTTGTGTTTTTTTTGTAGAAGAGTAGCTTGACTACTAATTGACACTTAAATACTTAATTTCACACTAAATTAATGTCAACATTTTATTCATGTTTAATTCAAAGTGTTACTTGTCATTATTTGTAATTTTTTGTGAAATTTACTAGCAATTTGTGAGTGAAAATTGTTTTTCAATGTAGTAGTGCATTGCTTGCCAAGCTACAGTTTCAAAGGAGTTTCTCCATTCTTGTTGCTAAAGACGCAGATGTGCGAAAGTGATCCAGCAGTTAGAACAAGCCTTTGGGAAACATAATCTTCTCTTTCAACGACTATCTGCTGTGTGTTACTGTAAAATGTCTTCCTCCCCTCCTCTTCTTCAATTAAAGGAGTAACAGGAGATGCTGACATTAGCTGTTTGCCAACTTATAATTATGAATATGCAAATCCTGAATATATTATCCTGTCAGCTGAAGCTATGATTTTGACTTTTATAAAAAAGAGTGCATTTGAATTAATCAAAATAAGAGTAGATTTTTAATCTACGCACATCACAGCTGCAGCACTGTCAGTTAAAGAAAAGAAAAGGCTGTGTCACCTTGATCCTCGATACATAGATTCTTCAGCAGCCACTGCAAAATGTCTGAACCTGGAAAAGAAGAAAAGAAGGTTGCTGTTCAAAATCTAAGGAGATTGTGTGTCTCTTTTTAAAGAGATAAATGACAAATTGGCTACTCAAAAAATTCGAATCAAGTCTCAATAGCAGGGTCTACTAAGGAAAACCTGAAATGTGACACAAGTAAACTAAAAATATCTTCTTATTTCTTTATTTATGTATTCATTCATTCATTTCAGTTTTTAATTAAAAATCAGCAAAATGCCGTTTCATGGTTGGTAAGAAATGCTTTCAATTCACTTGCCATTAGAATTTGAGAAAAAAAAAGTTATTTTTGAGCTCTACCATAAACTCATAATCAGTGTAAAAATGAGTTAAACCACACCACAGATGATAATGATAAAGATGAACGACAGAACTGCTGTTTTTTAGTCTTTGTGTCAACAGATGTATTGTCTGAGATATTGTCCATTCAGTATTTTCATTTTGACTGTAGCAAACTTTGTAGGTCGGGAAAAAGGAGGCAGGAACCGGCGAACACTTAAACAAACACAAAACGAAAGTAAAGCGGCAGCCCCTCGCGGACGACTGCCGCACACAAAACACAAAATAAAATCCAGGCCTGGTCCTCTCTCGTCCAACACTGTAGTCACTCCTCCTTTATCCTTCCGGAGCTCCTCCGTGAGACTCGAGACCGGTGAGTGGCGCAGGTGTCGCGCATTAGCAATTACTCCACCGGCCTCGCTCCGTTCCCACGGCTCTCGGCCCCGCCCCTCTCGTCACATACCCCCATCGCCCCTCGCAGGCCGGGGGGGTACTCACGAGACTGCGCTCTACTCCCCCCCCTCCCCCTTCCGGGGGAGCCGATCACAGCGGCCGCGGCGTACCTGGGGGTAAGCAGAACCAAAACACAAAATAAAGTCCAGGCCTGGTCCTCTCTCGTCCAACACTGTAGCCCCTCCTCCTTTATCCTTCCGGAGCTCCTCCGTGAGACTCGAGACCGGTGAGTGGCGCAGGTGTCGCGCATTAGCAATTACTCCACCGGCCTCGCTCCGTTCCCACGGCTCTCGGCCCCGCCCCTCTCGTCACATTGACATTTCATTTTTAGCTATCCTAGCTAAGCTTTATCTTTTATTCTTCATCTCCACTGCATCTATTCTTTTTGTCCACCACTTCCTATGCTTCAGAACGCGGTCACGCAAGGGCGTTCCCAAAGCGATCTCGACGCAGCGTCTCGTTCCCTCGGGGAACCATGGCTAGAGACGTTCTTTCTTTAGTTTCTCTTTCTACATTTTCTCAGACTAATCCTTGTCTCTCTCTCTTGCTAAGCAGCAGAACTGTATAAATTTTGTTAAAGGTAAGTACAGCAGTTCTGGATGCTCCAAAGAGGATCTGAGTCTAGCAGAGCTCTGCTGCAGTATTTCGTGGATTAGCAGAATGGTATAATCTTCACCCCTGCGCCCCTAAACCCCTATTTGTCCTCTTTCTGTCTGACTCTTGAAGCAACCAAGAAGTCAACACCATGAACTAGTTCCTGCATATCCACTTACAATAAATGAATGTCTAGAGTAAGGTACACATCTCTATATAAATTATGACAAAAGTCTCATAATTGCAGTAAAAGGGCAAAAAATTCTGTCGGAGCACTGTTTTAAAAGTGAAGTGTGATTATTATATAGCTGTAATTATTAAAGCTTAATATTCAGAGTACACCACTGGAAGATTGATATAAAAATCTTCACCTTTCAATGAATAGTTCACCCAAAAATAAAAATTAGCTGAAAATTTGCTCACCCTAAGGCCATCCAAGAAGTAGATATGTTTTTTCCTTCACCTGAACAGATTTGGAGTAATTTAGCACTATTTAGCACATCATTTGCTCACCAATAGATCCTCTGCAGTGAATGGGTGCCGTCAGAATGAGCGTTCAAACAGCTGATAAAAACTTCACAATAACCCACAAGTAATTGATAATTGTTAATTGATGGATTGGAGTCATGTGGATTACTTGTGGATTATTGTGAATTTTTTATCAGCTATTTGGATTCTCATTCTGACGGCACCCATTCACTGCAGAGGATCCATTGGTGAGTGAGTGATGTAATGCTAAATGTCTCCAAATCTGTTCTGATGAGGAAACAAATTCATCTACATCTTGAATGGGCTGAGGGTGAGTATATTTTCAACAAATTTCAGCTATTCCTATAAGTATTACTAACCATTTTACAGTGAATATAAATGGTGTTTAATTTAATTTCAAAGTTTTGCATTCAAGTATTTCGTTTTCAACCTGGTCACTGCTAAATTAATAAACTGTGAACAGGTTCTTCTGAGAAAAATATTTCCGAGATACCCCTTACCGACCAATCAAATCCAGTATTCCCAAAATATGCACAGAGCCGCTATTGCCTCAGCCAATCAGCAATGAGAGGCGTGTCCCCAGAGACAGCAGAAGCCAAGAGCTTGAGAGACTTTTTAAAGCATAGAGAGGCAGAGACTGGGGTGTTAGAGCTTGAAGCTGGCCTTTTAATGAATCCTCCGGGGGATCGCAGTCAGAGGAATGAAAGAATATTCTTCTGAGAATTTCTCTCTTGCTTTTTCATTCCTAATCCTGCTCTTCTAAAATGGATTATAGCATATACAGGAGTATAATATTTGCACTCTTCTGATATGTAAATAGTGCAATCATTATCCAATAAAAAATTAAACATTCTAATTATTCTATTTAAATAAATAATGGATCCAATAATTTCTGTCTTTTTTGTAGTTTTCTTTAAAAAGATGTTAAATTGATATTCTTGGTTATGGACCACAGATAGAATACCACAAACAATAATTTCAACTCATCCCTTCTTTGTTGAAAATTAACTGTAAAATTATGGTTTGTGGCAAATGACAGCATGCCACTGATGTGGTCCATAAACATTAGCTTGAAATTAAGCCAGAATATTCCATTAGCTACGTTTATAATGGCTGTTTCCGGCTGTTAGAATAACTATAATGAGTCAAATCTCCTGAACCACCAATTCAAGCCCTGATCTTTATACCCAGAATTCATAGTGCTTCTCCACCAGAGCAATGCAGGCCAGAGACCTTTGATAGAGATCAGGCTATCAACAGAGATCAGTAGACGAAGGGCTCTGGTACTGGCGCTGCACTACAGAGTTCTGGCCGAGTTTGCATTGTGCTGGTCTTCAGGCTTGCTGTGGGGCACTGGCTTCTGCTGAATCCTGCTTTCTCAGCGCCAGCAGTGTATATAAAACAGAAGTAGGGGAATTACCAGAGAAGACACTGGGAATCTTGGATAGGAAACTCTTCACTGTACGGATAGGTATGCCATTTTTTTCATCCTGCATCCTGCCAATCACATCCTCCATCTGAACAAGAGAGAGAAAGACACATTAGACTGAAGTAATGAAAACATATGTGCATATTATTCTCCTGCAACACGGGACAGAAATAAGCATAAAAATCATTGTCAATATTCCATGAGGTGGAAAATACGATTTTTATTTTTTAATACAAATATTTTCATTGCAAATTTTAATTGCATCTAATGAAGCAAAAAACTTTCTTTATACCTTATAATCAGGGTTTGAAATTAACACCCGCCAACCCGCCAAATTGAGCAAAAATCAGCTGTGGCGGGTAACGCTGTCAAATCACTAGCCAATCTGGTGGGTTACTTTTCGTAAATTATGTTCACTCATTAATTTCTTGGGGAAGTTCATGCAGGCCAAATCTGCGCATCAATAAACAATAAGTTAATATCAAGAGACTTACGTTTTAGACACCATATTGGCTGTTTTTGCGCTATTTCTGTGCTAGTTCGCCACAAAAAAACATTCCAAACACAGCCACAGTACTGTTTTGCGTCTCCGAGCAACATTTTGTTTCTGAATGAATCAACCGTGTAAATAATTCGGTTCAATCGCAATGACACACTTAACAGTGACTTGCTGCCACCTACTGGCGGTTTTAATTTCACATTTAAAGTATCTTTTCAATTTTTTAATAATTTCAAATATCAGTATTCAACATTTCATGTTTTAAATATCAAAACATTATTTATGCATTTGTAACTGCAGTTTAAAGCATTCCATGTCCCTCTAAGCTGCATTAACATGTGTAAATGCATCTAAATGCCACTTCATATGCAACTTCTGCAAAGATTAATTTTATTGATACTGATTTAATTTGTTTAGTAACAGCCTAAATGTATTATTATTATAATTGACTGATTAAATGTAAGAATTTGACTCAAAAGATGATGTACACTTTTAGAAAAAAATGGCTTTATAAAGGTAAAAAAAAATGCCCATAAAAGGTAAAAATAAATTTAAACTTATTGGAAAAGATTAATTTCCATCACTGCTGTGAACTGACCC